AAAAAAAAATTAGTTTTAAATTAACCCAATTCTATTGCTAACAAATACCTTATTAAGAATAATAAGGTATTGATGTTCAATAATTATTGTTATAAATTATTAGTAAAAAAAAATTAAAAAAAGAAGAAGAAGAGAGAATCAGATTCGGTAGCAGGATGTGCCACATTCTAATTTGCATGTAAGCTTGGTAAATTTCAGCACATCATGATTCTTGGGTTAGGGAGAATTGTAGTGGATAGCATAATGAGAAAGAGAAAAAGAGAAAGGGACTGAGAGGGGAAAAGCTCAACAAGATTACTAAATAAACACATGAAGGCTCAACAAGATTTCTATAGATACACATGCATGCCTTTGACGGGTGAGGAGAGTCTAGGAAAAAAAAAAATTAGTAGAAGGAAAAAAAGAGAGGAAGGTTAAGGAAGAAAAATTTTTCTACCATTTCATCACTCATTTGAATCCTACTATTAAGTAAGAAAACCCTCTCAACCCTCTCATTTTTTTTTTATTAGTGAAGTTTTCAGATTATGTCCTTGTGATTAAAATGACTACTCAAATAGAAATTTTATATATATGTGTAGGAATTTTGTGATGTGTATATCAAGTGTTTGAAGATGCTGATAGTCTTAAAATCATCTTATTATTGTAAAGAAATAAGCTTGCATGTGTAGTTTATGCATTTAAAGAGAAGATTGAAAATAATTAATTTGTTTTGAATCTGTCAGAATGTTGCCCACATTTTTGACAATTTTATACTCAAAATTTCGAGATGATTTCTTCTACAAAGTTGTTGATAATGATGTCTAGTTTATCCAAGAATTTTGGAAAAAATATTTGAGCTTTCTACGAATTTATACAAATTTTTAACTAAATCCGAAACTGTGAGACAGATTTTACTATGTATTTGAAAATTTATTTAAAATTCTATACTAAGCCAAATCTGGTAATTTCTAACTAAAATACAAAATTTGAAAAGTCTAGTTTCATGATAAATTTTTAGATTATGGATTTGATCTATAAATTTAAGCATGGAATTAATGTAAGGAAATGTAACGAATCTGTGTCATAAAAATTGCTGGAAATTTTACAGGATTATTTACACCTTCTTTTTTTTAAATTCTTTCTAAAAAGTGACCTAAACATCCCTATTGAGTATTCTGTTCAATTGCACGAATTTTAGAATTGTGTAAATAATTTATTTATAATTTTTAATACCTAAGTTACAATCTAAAATTTTCTGGACATGATAAAATCATCACTTCAATATTGTGTGGGTCTAATCCATCAACTATTATAAATTAGTAATCCATGTATGGGTATGTTGTGATTTATTTAATATTGTGCTAGTCTAATTTTGTAAATCAAAAATTTGTGCATGTGTATAATTATGGTTTATTTCTTGTATCTAAGTTATTATGTTCATACCATGGCTTAAATTAATTGTCTATTAAATTTTGTACATTTAATTATTATTGTGTGACATGCATAATGTTTTATGTTAGGAGTTTTTTTTTAGTTGGTATAACATTATTGGTGATTGAGAATTGAATTATTTATGTTTAATATATAAATTAACCGAAATGATTGATGGTATATATAAAGTTACTGAAAAAGGGTTATTACCGGGTATTCAGGGTGAGCCTTGGTTTTTAATAAGTTTTAAGTAAATTGTGTCGTGAAACCCTAAGATGGCATGGGGCTTATTTGAACCCTTATCGGTATTTGGTTTTGGAATAAGGGTGGATGTGCGGGTGGCATGAGGGGAAGTTACATACCCCTGGCAGACCGTTCCCTTGAGGCAGACCACGAATATCACGACTTGGGTATATAACTCCGGGCGTGGGCATCTTTGGTAGTTCTTGAATATTTGACCAAGGGGGGGGTTTCCAAATTAACCGTGGCCATGACTTAGTGGTTGGTAAGTTAAACCTCTTTGGTGAGATTTCAAGGGTCACCTAAGTTATTAAAATTATTTGAATTATTGTAATGGTTGTAATTTATGTTTACGATTATATTATTATCTTGTGTTTATAATCTCATTATTTTTCTCAAAAAGAATGGTGGGTTGGTTATGTTTTCTTACTGTGTTGCAAAGCTCATGGCATATATTTTGTTGCCCTGGCGTTTCATGCTAGATTATGTCGAAGAAGGGACTGAGGCTGAAATTGGAGCAGCTGCTAATATCTAACCTTGGCTAACTTAGAGTCAAGATTTTATCAAAATAAAATCCTGTTATCTCTTGTAATAGTATTTAACAATGTTGTGACGTTGTGTGTGAACTTGTAGTTTTATTTTGTTGTTGGACTTTGACTATGTAAGAATTTAAAACTTCCTAATTAGTAGTTAAAATTTTATCTAGCAAGTTATTGTATTTAAATCTTATGACGTTTGAAAAAAAAAATTGGGGCGTCTCGAGCTATGTTCAAGTTAAGTTATTTTTTGCAAATGCAATAAGATCTGTTCTATGAAATGCTATGTTTTGTACTATGAATGATTGTCGAAATTTGGCAAATATTTGTGACATTAATGCTATGATTCAAGTAAGCTATCTGTATCCGGACCGGAGGTTCCTTAATGGAACTGGCAAGTTATCTGTACCCGACTAGAGGTTCCTTTATGGAACTAGCAAGTTATATGTACCCGGCTGGAGGTTTTTTTATGGAACTGGCAAGTTATCTGTACCCAGTCCAGAGGTTCCTTAATGGAACTGGCAAGTTATCTGTACCCGACTAGAGGTTCCTTTATGGAACTAGCAAGTTATATGTACCCGGCTGGAGGTTTTTTTATGGAACTGGCAAGTTATCTGTACCCAGTCCAGAGGTTCCTTAATGGAACTGGCAAGTTATCTGTACCCGACTAGAGGTTCCTTTATGGAACTAGCAAGTTATATGTACCCGGCTGGAGGTTTTTTTATGGAACTGGCAAGTTATCTGTACCCAGTCCAGAGGTTCCTTAATGGAACTGGCAAGTTATCTGTACCCGACTAGAGGTTCCTTTATGGAACTAGCAAGTT